GTATAAGTGAAGATGTCGCACAGAATTATTTACAAATGCGTTTAGACTGTGACTATACGGTAGCACTTTTCCAATTTTGTGTAAATTAAGGCAACTATTTTTTTTTTTGAAATTGAATTCGAAATGAAATGACGATTGTTGATGTTCTTAAGATAAATTGATTTATGATTTATGATTTACATTTGATTTGCTCATATATTGCCTTAAGGCACGATGCCATACACCACTAGTTTTTATTCAAGCTAGAAGCCAATACAATTATTTTACTAGTGGTGCATGGCATCATGCGTTAAGACAAACTTCCCGTAATACAATTAAATATTTGATAAAAAAATCTATAAATATTGATCAATGATTAATAATTGTTTTAATATTTAATTATATTATTTATTTATTTATAATATTATAAAGATATAATTATAATTACTGTATTCGTTCGTATAATAAATAAAGACGATCTTATCGCTTAAAACACTTGAAAATGTTTACATTAACAAGAGATGCCGAATGAATCCATCTGAGGATATATTTCGTACGATTACAACAACGCCTATTAAAAATGTACATTTTTAAGAGTATAAATATATGTATATTTTTGAAAAATTTTAATAAAAAATGCTGGAAATTTTAAAATATGTTTGAACCGTATGATTGAACTTTTGAAATTAAATTTCTTGGTACGGAACCCTAAAAATTGTAACAAAATTAGTAAACATGTTTAAAATTTCTATAAAATATCAACAACGCCTATGAAAAATGTACATTTTTAAGAGTATAAATATATGTATATTTTTGAAAATTTTTAATAAAAAATGCTGGAAATTTTAAAATATGTTTAGTGAACTTTTGAAATTAAACACCTTGGTACGGAACCCTAAAAATTGTAACAAAATTAGTAAACATGTTTAAAATCTCTATAAAATAACTGATTCTTTTTTATATGCATATGTCTAATGATCATTTTAGACAGCTAAATATCATTTTTTTACATTTTTTCTAAGATATGCCAAAATGTTCAGAAACGCTTGAAACACAAAGGCAAAAAAAAATCTCCAGGTTAAGCACAGTCTAAGCGCCACTCTGGTACAAATGTTTACCCAAGTGCGTTTAGACTGTATATGTACTGGAGCACTTGTCCAATTTTGTGAAAACTATTGAAAAATGTGAAAATGCCGCCAAGCTAAGCACAGTATAAGTGAAAATGTCGCACGGAATTATTTGCAAATGCGTTTAGACTGTGACTGTACGGGAGCACTTTTTCAATTTTGTGTAAATTAGGAGAATATTTTTTTTTTTTTTTGAAATTGAATTCGAAGTGAAATGACGATTGTTAATGTAATAATTGATTTATGATTTACATTTGATTTGCTCAGATAAAACGAGATAGCAAAAATAATGAAAGTTACAGTATTTGTAATAATCTATTTGAAAACATTTAATTTTTTATTACGGTACGGAAAGTTCCAGCAATTTGCCTTAAGGCACGATGCCATACACCACTAGTTCCTTGTTTATTTATATGTAAAATACGCCTGATCGCACCTCAAATGGATAAACATTTTCAATATTGCACTAAATAAAAACCAAGAAATTCGTGTAAATTCACAAATTTTAATACAAAAAAATTTAGACAAGTATCTTAATATCAATTTTTATACTTTAGTAAAATTTTAGTTACAATTTAGGTAAGTAAAATATTTTTTTACTTTAATTTTCATTTACAATTAAGCATTTTTGTTCACTAAAGCATCAAGAAGATTATTTTGTATTATATTTAATTCAGACGATATGATCATATTCAGATATGCCAAAAATTTATTTTTTTATACAAATCGTTTCATTAAAATTTTATCAAGAAGCTAATTTTATTTTATTATTTTAGTTAATTTTATTTAAAATTTTTTTGTTTAGGGGATAAAAGGCAGCTGCTAGACAACGAGAAGATTGTGTTCGAGTTATTAATTTTTTGGTTTTGAAAAATAGATTGTTCCTAATAATAAATGAATTATATATACATATGAGATGGTAATATGAACTATACTATTTTTTTTTTAACTAAAATTTCATGTCCACTATTAATTCCACTAATATATACAAAGTAAATCCTAAATTTTCACCTTCTACTTCTAATTTGATATCGTGATTATCATGGTGCGCAAAATTAAGGTCGAAGTCACCAATTGGTGACCCCGTAATCGCTAAAAGTTAAAATTTTACCTCATAAAATAGCTTTGTCATGACAACGTTATTTTATGCTTGTTTCTTAGTAGTAAAACTGTATCTGTTGCAGTTTGAATCTCGACTTAAGCGTCAAACTTCACCCAACAGAACCTGTTGCCCAGTTTGCACTTAAATATTACTTAAGTGATACTTAAATATTTTTTAAAAATACTTAACGTTATGAAAAAATTCTACAAAAAGTATATGTGGTATTGCAAAATATTATCTAACTAATAGTTTTGGTTTCATAATTTAAGCTATAATAGTTTTTGCAAAATAAATAGTTTTTTAAACAAATGTACTAACTGCGTATGGTGTAGATTAGGGAATGCAATACCGGTTTACCGGTATACCGAATTACCGGTAAACCGCTTAATTTTTCGACGGTAATTTTACCGGTAAATAACTTAAAAATACCGGTATTTTCGATATTTTTACATGGCGCTTGTGGATACATGTTACATATGTACATGTTTTAAATCCCATGATCGCTGACAAGAAATATCACTTCACGCTGTTGTGTTATATAAACATGTGTCAAAATATTATCTCGACTCGTCATTAAACTGAATATTTATTACTTTTCAAAGGGCTTCATATTTCAGTATTTCAATAAATAGAACGGACTAATCAATAATGATGTTATTTTATCTTATATAAAAATGTAACGGATTTTTAAAGTGACATGGGCTTACTAGTGGGTAATACATACTAACTTAATACATGCTAATCATAATTATCGAAAGTATTTTTATTAAAAAACAATTTTTATTATCAAACAACCTGAAAATATAAAAAAAAATTAAATATATTTCACGTACAAAGTGTCGCATTTTGAGAATAGTATAGGATCATTATATTGTTTTAAATAAAGTTTCGTATATTAATTTAGTATCAAAATAACTTGTGTAAAATATTGATTTTCATAAAAAGTACTCAATAGTCAATATTGAGTAGTATTAATACTTTTGTTACTGTTATTTTAGCAACGATTATTTTTTCAGCACTCGATATCGATAATTTGTCTCGACTCTTCTAGCACTAGTTATATAGTAACTCGGAGAAACATTATTTTTTTAGTGTATTTACTTATTTAAATTTATTCGGGGAACTACTATTTTCTTTAGGCATTAATTCGGGGAATTATTTTTCTTTGTGGAAGTTACTAGAGTGCCAATTGAAATATCGTCTAATAGAACTCCACAGCCGCCATTTGTTCATTGCAAAGTGTTTTGTCAGTACGTAGATACAAATTGAGATCGAAAGTTGTTTAGTTATATTAATTTAGTGAAATAATTGTTTTAGAATAGAAATTAGTAGTTCAGTGCAAAGTTATTTTTCAACGCGTAGATACAATTTTGTAGTGAAGTTTGATAAATTTGTGCTTGTGCAAAATTATAAATTGACTAAATTAATTATTTGAGAATATATTTTTTTAATTCAGTGCGGAGTGTTTTCCCAATAAGTGAAGTTTTAAGTAATTTTAGGAAAGTTAGTTTACTTCGTGCTTGTGGAAAATTATTAATTTTAAAACAATTGTTTTTTAATCAAAAGTATGAATTCAGAAACCAATATATTTCAAGAACATAAGAAAGGAAACGAGGTGAATTCTGTGTGGCATTATTATTTAGTTGCCAAACAAGGACAAGTACTAAAATGTGTTAGGGGGGTACATCTAAAACTTGCATATGAACATTTATTAACAATACCGCCAACAAGCGTGGAGTCGGAAAGAGCTTTTTCAGCTGCTCAACATATAAATACCAAAATAAGATCGAGATTAGACGACGGTACGTTAGATCATATTTGTTTTTTTAAAATCTTATTTTAGTTCGCATAAGTAATTATAATAAACTATTTTTATTCATGTAATTATATTTTATTAATTTTTATATTATTTTGTTACATTATTATTAAAAATAAATGTTTTGTTGTTCAATTCTTCTTTTATTCTTTGGTTTTTATTATTATTATTTTTTATCTTTATTAGGTCTGTTTTTTATATTTGTATAAGTAACTTTCAATTTTGTTTACATTTTTTAAAAATAATCTTATTACCGGTAATTTACCGGTTTACCGGTTTTAAAAGTCGAAAATATCGAAATACCGGTAATTAAATTTTTGATCGGTATTGCATTCCCTACTATCAACAAGGTACAAGCTGAGGACTTCATTCGGAAAAACATGCACACATCACGTATTTATTCCAAAAACATCAATTTTAGTATCTGACATCATTCAAAACACTTTCAGAAATAACATACAAAAAATTTGGGGTTGTAGTACAAACAGTGCGACCTGAGAAGCTCTTTAAATCTACACACTACCTCCTATCAACGAGGTACAAGTCGTGTACTTTGTTCAAAAAACATTTATACATCACATATTTATTCCAAAAATATCATTTTTAGTATTTGACGTCATGAAAGACACCTTTTGGAAATAACATACAAAAATTTTGGGGTTGTAGTACAAACGGTACGTCCTGCAGAGCTCATTGAATTTGACATTGGTCGTGAGAACCAAATACATTTTGCTGTTTGTCTGAGTGCACAGACGTAAGGACGTCCATCCTAACCACATTTAAAAGGTTAGTATAGAATTTTTTTAAGGTACAGACCCCTAAGAAACAAGCCCTAAATCAAATTAACATAATTAAAAATAAATATAACAAATTATAATACAAATAATAAAAGTTAGTATTGTTAAAAAGTGGTTTAATATTTTTTTAAAATTAGTAGAAAGTGAAGAAAAAAAATGTAAAAAAAATTACTTGACGTCTTCCTAGATCCACATCTGTAATTCCAAGTAAAACTTCATTATGCACAAACACTTTTAAGCCTTGTACATCCTCAATCTACAAAACAAAAAACAAAAACAAAAAATTACAAAAACATTCTTCCATTACAATTTTGTTTTATTATATTATATTTCCGTCTATACATTAATTGTTTGTTCTTTAAAATATTATTATAATTACAATATCTCTTCTTCCACTTGCATTGCATTTTACGATTTCGATTAATAATAATAACACGTGATATAATTTTATATTTTTAATATTTAATATTTATATTATATTGACTATATTGTTTGCTAAATAGTAATAATAAGTAACAAAAACGGGTCTAAAGTGTAGAAAAACATATTTATAAACAAATATAATATGTCCATAGATGGCGCTACTGTTAACAGCAATGACACAAACCGTTGTTCGTTTTATTTTCATTTGTTTAAATAAACTTATTACTTAAATTATTATATAAATATATAAATTATAACTAATAGTTTATTTAATTTTTTTTAAATGTTAATTAACAAGAAAATTTTGTTGGAAATAACATTTAAAAAATCGAAACCCGAAGACAGAAGGCGCCACCGTTTTTAAATTAATATTTCAATTATTAACTACCATATAATATCTTACAATCTACGTCTGATATATATATTTATTTTATAAATATAATTTATATTTATATATATTTACAATATGCGTGTATGTACAATGCTAAAAATTAATTTCATTCATTTATTTATATATTTGTTAACATAAATATATTTATATGTATATATCATAAATATTTTCATAATACTATAATACTATTAATAATAGTTTAATATTGAATATATTGTCAGGAATAGATTATTATTCTAATAAGACGATCTACGTAGAGTGCAGATTTTAATCGTCATTGACGTTGATGACGATTTTTTTCCTATTTTAATATTATATTAAATTCGCGTGTGATTTTTAAATCAATTGTAATATTAAAATTGTAATTTTAATATAAGTAA